GACGCGAAGAGCTCGAAGGCCGCGGCCATGGCCTCCTCGACGGACGCGGCCGTGCCGTTGTTCCGCGACGCGGCCAAAAGGCTCGCCCGTTCCGCGAAGGCGCAGACGACGCCGCCGTGGCTGCCGTAGACCGGGTGGTCCGCGGCGCCGGCGCCGGCGCAGAGCGCATCGTCGGGCCGCGCCAGGTGGCCGTGGAGCCACTTGCTCAGCGTGCTCCAGCGGCACGCGGATTTCGGCATGCAGCTCCGGGCCCAGCGGTCGTCCTGGTCGTAGACGCCCGGCAGCAGCGCCTCCCGGGGGAAGCCGCGGCCCGGGTTGTTCGCCTCGCCTACGAAGCGCGACGATGAGTTTCCCACCAAAAAATCGCTCGCGGCGTCGGCGGGGAACGGGAGAACTACGATCGAGGCATTGGACGCCGCAAAACACCGGTCGCGCAGACCGCCGGGTGGCGGTCGAGCACGTCCATGAACCACTCCGTGCCCGACCGCGGCGCGCTCAACACCACAAAGGGCCGGAGCCGCGCCGCGCCGGGCCCCGCGAGCCGCCGGGAGCCCTCGAAGCGCCGCGATAGCTCCGGCGCCGCGTGGGCGTGGTAGGCGGCCTCGTAGCCGCGGATGCTGCGGTCCGGGTCCCAGGGCTTGCGGTCGCCGTTCCAGTGGACCGCGTACGCGCGCGCGAGCGACGCTTTCGGGTCCGGCCGGTCGCCGCGCTTCGCCAGGTCCACGGCGAAGTCGTCGTAGGGCACGAAGCCCAGGCCGTGGCTGATGGGCAGCGCGTCGTCGACGCAGGCGACGTCGCCGGCCCAGGCGAGGAACGCGACGCCGAGGCCGTAGCCCAGCGACGTCTCGGGGAACCAGCCCTCGCGCGCGTTCGCGGCCATCCACCCGACGTACTTCTCCGTGAGCCCCCGCGTGCGCCAGGCCGCCAGGTCGAACTTGTTCACCCCGAAGTTCCAGGCCCGGGACGTCCGGAAGGCGCCCGCGACGTCGCCGCCGCCGCCGAGCTCGCGCGACGCGCGCGACAGCGACTCGAAGAAGCCCTCCGGCACGCACTCCGTCTCGCCGTCCGCGCCGCACGTCGCGTCCGCGACGCTCCGGCCCGTGAGCGTGCCCACGCCGAAGTAGGGCACGTCGGCGTAGGTCAGGGACAGCGACGACTCCATGCGCTCGCACGCGTTCCAGACCCAGTTCAGGCACCCCGCGCCGATGGCTTTGCCGCCGAGGTCGAAGCCGTGGAGGTCCGCGATGTCGCCCTGGACGATCGTGTCGTCGTCGAGGAAGATGAGCGCGTCGAGGTCGCGGAAGGGCGACAGGTAGGGCGCGTAGAAGCGCAGGTGGTTGAAGCCCGTCTTGTGCTTGTCGCTCGCGTCCCAGGCCGCCGCGCGGACCGTCAGGTTCGTGCGCGCCACGGGTGCCATCTCCCAGGTCACGACGACGCCGGCGTCGCGCAGCTCCTGCGTGAGGTCGCCGAGCGTGTGCACGCGCAGCCGCGCGCGCGCGCAGCCGCCGCCGCGCGCGGCGGCCTCGAAGCCGGAGCCGCCGCCGCGCGCGCTCACGACGACGTGGAAGACGAGCCGTTCCGGCGCCGCGGCGTGGCGGCAGACGGACTCGAGCACGGCCGCCGCCTCGAGCGCGCGGTCGCTGAACATGGTCACGTGCACGTCCGAGAGGCCGGAGGCTGCCCCGACCGCGCCGCCGCCGCCGGCGGCCGCCGTTGCCGCCCACGCCAGGACGGCGGCGATCCACGGCACGACGGCCATGGATCGAGTTGCCCTCATCTAAAAGCGGGCGCCACGCGCGCGAAGCGCGCGCCGGGCGCCGAGAACGGGCGCCCGGGGGGCTGCATTGTACGAGCAAAACAAGCCGGCCTACGGCCGGCAAGCTCGCTTCGCGAGCTATCGGCCACTCGTTTAATTGAGGTTGCTCGCTACGCTCGCTTTAAACCACTCATTGAAAGTTTTATGTTGCTGCTCGGACGCACGCACCGCGACACACTGCAAAATAGAATATAGATGAGCAATGCCGGTGTGAGCGGGAACAAGATTTCCGTCGCTGATATGTTATTGTTGCAGTACTTCCCTGACCGTAACGGACAAATGATGCGACGGCCGGGGGTCATTCATCGGTCGTTCGAACACAACAATCCAAAGATAGTCCAAGGGCGACCGAGCCCCCGATTCTTCTGGAAGCTTAAAGAGGGGGCCTTTGTCGTGGGGGGGGCGGGCAGCTTCGCCTGAATCACGCCATGCCCGCCGCGGGCTCGCCCGGGGCCTCCGCCGCGGGCTCGAGCTCGCCCTTGGGCGCCGCGGCCGCCGGGCCGGGCTCGTCGAGGACGTGGGCCCGGTCGTAGACGAGGACGGCCGTCAGCACCGTGAGGATGATCCAGAGGAAGAAGGAGAAGGCCGCCATGGCCTCGTTCGCGGAGTCGTCGCCCTCGCCCGCGTCGACGAGGCCCGCGAAGATCGCGAAGTTCCTAAAGAAAAAAGACGACATGACGCGTCGCGCGAAACGGACGACACGCACATGAACATCATCTGGGACATCATGCCCGCGACGCCGAGGAAGAAGCCGAACGAGAGGTTCGTCCGGTACTTGCGGAGGATGAGCGTGCCCCCGAAGGCCAGGCAGACGAGGAGCAGCATGGACCAGACGGCGGCGAAGGCCGCGCCTCGGTGCGGGTCCTGCGGCGCGGCGCGTCGTTGGTACGCGGGCGCCGCGGCGGCGGGACGCGGCGCGCGCGCCTTGTCCTCGATGTCGAGCTTCACCGCGGCGGCGATGGAGATGATGAAGACCTGCGCGGCGCGACGTCGGCGCATGCGCGCGGGGGCGGAGCGCGCGACGGCGCGGCTCGGATGGACCGGCGTCGCTCGGGACGACCGCGGGGCGGTCGCGCGCGGCGGGCGCCGGCCGCGGGAAAGCCCGGGACGCCGGCGAACCGACGATGGCGATGAAGATGAGCGTCAGGTACCAGGTAAAGTTGATGCGCTCCGCCGGGTCCGCCTTGAGCGTGTTCCCCTGCGCGCGCGCGCGTGACCGGCGGCGGGGCCGACAGCGCTGTCCCCGGGACGCCGCGGCGCGCGTACTTCGTCATCGACTCGCGAACCTTGTCCACGGGCTTGGACGACATGGCGGGAACGGCGGCGAGGATCCCGGCGGCCTTGTTCGTCGTCCGATTGAGTGGCGCCCGGGCTGCCGACGATGGAATTGTAACTTGCTGCCCCTTGCCGTCAAGTTTACCGCTAGCGGCCGTCGGCGTCTGGGCACAGCCAAACGGGGCTGCCCATGGCCTCGCAGCCGGGGACGCCGGGGTCCCCCAAGCGGCCCAAGTCGCGGCCCGGGTCGACGAGCAAGCTGCGCACGCGGCCCGACTCGCCGGAGCCCATCGACTTTAGCCGCCTCGAGCAGTTCGACAACCAGGATGTGCTCGCCTTCGTCACGGAGATGCCCGCGCGGAAGCGGCTCGACCCGGACAGCATCTTCCCGCGCGAGGAAGCGGCGCCCAGGCCCAAGCGCTACGACCGGCCCCTCGTCGGCACGCCCTACAAGGACCCGAAGGCCAAGAAACGGCCGCCGGTCCTTTTGGACGCGTCGGGCCTCGAGGGCGCGGGCGACTCGACGGAGGTGACGAGCCACGCGTCGCCCGGCGGCGAGGCCAGCGCCTTCGGCGCCGACTCGTCGAAGCCCGGCAGCGGCCAGTCGACCTGCAGCCGCACGGCGACGCCGGGCGAGCGCGCGCCGCCGGAGCCGTTCGGGTCCCCGGCCGAGCTCCGGCGCGGCTTCGCCTACAAGGAGGTCGAGGACGTCTGGCACCCCGTGGAGACCTTCTGGCACGACTGGGCGAGAATGAGGCCCAAGCAGCAGAGCCACGTGCACCTCGAGGAGTCCAACGTCCGCGACGGCGACCTCGCGATTTTGGCGGCGACGAACCCGACGGTCAACTACCTCAACCTGCGGGGGAACCCCCTGCTCAGCCACCACGGCGTCGAGAAGCTCCAGCACCTGGACCGCTGCACGCACCTCGACCTGTCCCACTGCGCGGGCGTCGAGGACAAGGCGATGGAGCACCTGCGGCGGCACACAAAGTACCTGCGCGTGCTGAACCTGAGCCACACGAACGTCGGCGACGCGGGCATCCACAGCTTCCTCGCGGGCATCAAGCTGCTCGAGGAGCTCTACATGCGCCAGTGCCCGAAGATGACGGACAAGGGCCTCGTGGAGATCTCGCGGCAGATCAAGCTCCGCCAGGTCATCAAGGTGCTGGACCTGCGGGAGACGCTGGGCTTCAGCAACGACGCGCTGCTGCTGCTCATGGCCGAGGGCGGCGGCGGGCTCCACGAGCTCAATCTGAGGGGCTGCCGCCAGATCGACTCGCTGGGGCTCTTGGGGCTGCGGCGCGACGTGGGAACGCTCGAGATGCGGCGGCTCGACATCGGCGGGCTGCCCCACGTCATCTCCGGGTCCACGCTGCTGGGCGGCTTCGCGGGCGGCTGCCGGCGGCTCCGCGAGCTGCGGCTCACGGGCCTCAAGGACGCCGTCGACGACAACGCGCTCCAGGCCTTCGCCAAGGCCGCGGAGGACAGCGTGCACGGCCACGCGCCCCTCGAGGTGCTGGATTTGAGTCTCTGCCCCCAGATCAGCGCCCTGGGCCTGCGGCCCTTCCTACGGGCCGTCGCGGACACGTTGAGGGACCTCGACGTGAGCTTCTGCCCGCTCCTCGACGACGCGTTCTGCGGCGCGCTCGCGCCGTGCCTCCAGCTCGACCGCCTGCGGGCCGTGGACACGCCGCTCATCAGCGACCGGGGCATCGCGACCTGGGTCAAGGGCCCCAAGGTCGAGGTGGACCACTACGCGGGGCCCGCGCACGAGCGCATCGTGAAGCGGCGCGAGGGCGAGCCCGAGCCGAAGCGGACGCGGCTGGCGCTCAAGGAGCTGATCTTGGAGGCGGCGCTCACGGGCTCCGTGGACACGTCGGCGCGCTGCCGCGTGCCCCGCTACTCCGAGCGGGGCATCCGGAGCCTGTGCCGGACCTGCGGCGCGACGATCGCGAAATTGGACGTCGACGGCGCGCCGCGCGTCGACGACGCGGCCATCGCGACGGTCGCCAAGTTCTGCAAAAACCTGGCGCGCCTGGGCGTCGACTCCTGCGCGCGCGTGACGGACCTGGGGCTGGTGGCCGTGGCGACGTCCTGCGTCTTCCTGGAGCGGCTCCGGGCCGCGGGCTGCGGCGGCGACCGGCACCCGATCACGTCGAAGACGGCCGAGGCCATCGGCCGGAACTGCCCCAGGGCGACGACGCTGGACCTGAGCCGGAGCGAGGTCGGGCGGAGCGGCCTGCTCGCCATCGCCGCGGGCTGCACATTATTAGAAACGTTGAAGGTCAACAAGTGCGAGTACGTCGACGACGTCGCCGTCGACGCGATCTTGGCGGGCTGCCCGAAGCTCAAAGCGCTCCACCTCGCGACCTGCGACCTCGTGTCGTCGGCTTGCGTACGACGCGTCGGCCTGGCGCACCACCTCGAGGTGTTGGACCTCAGCGGCGCCGCGCGGGGCCGCGGTCTGGGAGACCGCGAGCTCGGCCGCGCGACGCGCGCGCTGCCCTTCGGGAAGAAGGAGTTCGACGGGCGGCGCTGCGGCGTCGTGCCCGTGGCGCCGGCCGTGCGCAAGTTCGTCGCCCAGCAGATGCGCTGCCGCGAGGCCTACAGGGCCGCGACGGTCATCGAGACGCGGCACCGGTACAAGGCCGCGGGCCGCTACTACGTCGTCTTCCGCGCCGCGCGGCTCTACGAGAAGGCCATGGCGTGCTCCGCGCTCGTCATCCAGCGCTGCATCCGGGACCGCAAGGCCGTGCTCCGGGGGCGGCGCCTCGCGCAGGAGAAAAGGACCGCCGCGGCGGACCGGGCCTACCGGGACGCGCGCGCGCTCCTCGACGACCTCGCCATCGACGCCGCGCAGCTGTTGAAGCGGCGCAAAAAGGGCCTGCGGCCCATCTTCCCCTCGTTCCGGCGGCTCACGCTCGCGCTCGCGTTCTTCACGTTCGACGCGTACCGCGACTACGACCTCTGGCTCGAGGTCAACGCGACGTTCCTCGCGCGCTGGGTCCGCAAGACGCTCGCGCGCTGCTGGCGCGAGACGAAGTACTTCGCGGCGCTGGCGATCCAGAACCTCGGGCGGCGGCGCCTCGGCGGGAACGCGCTCGAGCGGAAGCGGAGGGAGGCGATCGCGCGCGCGGCGAAGCTGGCCTTGGAAGCCAAGATCGAGGAGGCGCTGCGGCGCCAGCGCTGGGAGGCGGACAAGCTCCGCAAGGACCAGGAGCAGCTCGAGCGCGAGGCCGAGGAGCGGAAGCGGCGCGAGTCCGCGATGATGACCGCGTTGTTCATGAAAGCGCGCGAGGAGTCGCCCTTCGAGACCCGCAAGCGCCTGCGGCGCGAGTCGGCCCAGATCATCCAGAAGCGCGCGCGGCGCTTCGTGCGCATCGTCGTCCAGCACCGCAACAAGCACGCGTGCAAGATCCAGGGCGCGCTGCGCGCGCACCTGGCGCGGAACGTCGTCAAGGCCGCGAAGAAGCGCATCACGTGGATCATGAAGGCCTTCGAGCGCTTCGGCGACCCGAAGACCGTCGACTTCCTCATCGCCGCGCGCGCGAAGCGCGCCAAGGAGCTCGAGGCCGAGGCCGCGCAGCTCCTGCTGGACCGCGCGAAGGCGCTGCGGGTCATCCAGCAGGCCATCCGGAACCGCGTGCGGCGCTGGCGGGCCGTCAAGTACTGGCGCGACCGCAAGGAGCACCGCTACGCGACGCAGATCCAGAGCCGCTTCCGGCTGCGGTCCGCGCGGCGCGCGACCTTGGCGAGGCACCGCGCGTTCAACCGCGCGTGCTTCATCATCTGCCACGTCTGGGGCCGGCGCAAGGCGCGCATCCAGTACCGCGAGATCCAGCGCAAGCTCAAGCAGCGCGCCGACGAGGACGCGCTCCAGCACAAGGTCGAGCTGCTCCGGCGGAAGAACGATAGGGTGGTGGAGAAGTGCTTCGCGCAGGGCCGCATGCGCGGCGCGATCAAGATCCAGAAGGTCTGGCGCGAGCGAAGAGTGCTGGCGCGGGAGCGGAGCCACCGCGTGGCGAAGCGGGAGGCGGAGCTGCGGAACGCGCGTTTGGATTTCGCGATGTCGGAGAAGGCCGCGGAGGCCAAGGCGCTGGCGAAGCGCGCGCTCTACCACGGCCGCGTCTGGGCGTTGAAGGCCGTGAAGAAGACGATCACGGCCGTCAAGGAGACGGCGAAGCGCGCCTGGAACGCGTCCATGGGCGCGTCCGAGGCGGACCTCGTGCGCCGGGGCTACGACCTGCCGGAGATCCGCAAGGACCCGCCGCACGTGCGCCTCTACGATTTACTGAAAGACGGCAAGTCCGGCCAGCAGCGCGAGGAGGAGAGCGAGCAGGTCGAGAACTCCGTGCTGAACCTGCAGTCGCGGTCCATCAAGCCGCGCGGCGTCGTCGACATCATGATCACCGTCGGCCGCCAGGAGCTCGCGTCGCAGAACGAGAAGCAGGACTACAACAAGTCCATCAAGCAGCCTGTGTTCGAGCGCATCAAGAAGGACCTGTCGACGAACAAGAGCCGCATCTACGTCTGGTACTGCATGGGCAGTGGCCCGCGCGTGCTCACGCAGTTCCGCGTCCGCCGCGCGCCGCCGAACCACAAGAACAAGGCCGCGAACGAGTCGCGCATCTTCGGCGCCTACGTCGCCGGCACGGTGATCCGCGGCCACGAGAAGCTCAACGTCGAGATCCACGGCGACGCGGGCATCTTCCGCGGCGAGTCCGCGCCGCCCATCGACATGATCAACTTCGCGCGGAACGAGAAGGAGGAGGCGTCCTACAAGAAGCTCGACTGGGAGTTGATCTCGCCGACGATCGGGTCCTGCGGCGACAAGATCGGCAAGCACCACCTCGTGATCCACCGGAAGAAGTTCCACAAGAAGGTCGTGCTCAACGTGCTGGCGCTCGGGCTGCTGAAGCGCGAGAAGTGGTACCACGGCGAGGAGCGGCTCAAGGACATGATCGCCATCCACGCGCTGCCCATCTCGTCCGTCTGCGCTTTGCGCAACGTCTTCGACAAGCTCAACTACGGCAACAGCGACCACGTCGAGACGAAGGACTGGCTCGAGTCGCTCGGCGAGCCCAAGGAGCCCATGCCCCTCTATTTGAAGTGGCTGTTGGAGCTCATCGAGATCGAGTCGCACACGGGGTCCCACCTCACCTTCGGCGAGTACGTCTGCGCCGTCGCGACGCTGTCCATGTTCGACATGATCGGCATGCTCCGCTGGCTGTTCAAGTCCGTGACGGGCCGCGAGTCGTGCTACCTCGAGAAGACGGACTACGACCTGCTCACGAAGGGCCTCCTGGCGAACAACCCGCTGCCCTACCAGCAGGTCCACGTGGACACGCTCTTCGAGACTTTTAGTTCCGGCAAGGGCGAGATCTACTTCGAGGACTGGGTCAAGATCGCGGAGCGGCTGCCCATCCTCCTCTTCGCGCTCCTCCGGTTCCAGGCCGCGATCATGAAGCAGAACCTCGGCGAGGGGTTCTGGTTCAAGAAGAAGCTCGAGTTCGACTCGGTCCGCGACATGCTCGGCGTCGAGCGCGCGGGCATGATGAATTAAGTCGTCGGTATGAGGGCCTTGAGCCGCGCGAAGAGGCGGAGGTCCGCGGCGTTCTCCGCCGCGAGGGCCGCGAACTCGCCCGGGTGGGCGGCTTGGAGCGCGGCGACGTGGGCGCGCCGGAGCGCGCGCAGGGCGCCGTCGAGGGCCTCGGTCTCCTCGTGGCCGTAGCCGTCGTAGGACCACGTCGGCGCGCGCTCCCAGTCGACGCGCGCGACGCACGGCGGCGCGGCGCTCTCGCAGGCCCCGGGCCGGCCCGGC